GTTTGTGTGGGGCAAAGTAGTGGCACTGCATAAATATTTTCTTCACCTGTGCATTAGTTTATTTGCATTAATAACAGCATTTGTTGTGAGCACTCAGTTAATGGCTCATTATCTAAGAGCGAAATGCAAAGCTTTGTTTTTGATATCCTGTACAAATTATTTTGACCTTTTGCAGAACACCGAGTTCCAGCTGCAACAAAACTGTGTTCCTGAAACAAACATGGCAGGTTGGTTTACATATCAACAAGGCTTACGCTCCTGATTTGGGCATGATCATGTGCACACTGGTGGCTATATAACAGCTCTCCCCATCTTGTAAAGGATCTTAAGGGTTTGGAATTGAACTGAGTACAGGAGAAAGAAGCTGGTTTTCTTTGTCACTTGCAAGATAATATTTTGTGCACTGCTGATGCTGTTTTCTGAAAGTTCCCTTCCTCACATAATCCAAAACCTATTCTTTACGCTATCTGGGAAAAAAAAACTGACAAAAAGGTTTCATTTAATGAACAATACTGATGTATTGAGATGTGGTTGCTACAAAAAGATGCATAATATTAAGGGGATCAGTTAGCGGGATAACTGGTTTGCACTGTAGAATGAAGCTAACAGCATGGGTTGAATTCCTCCACCAATCAAGGTTACCATGAAGATTCTCCTGCTCAACCTCTCCTCTGAGGCATGGTGACTGTTAGCTTAAACTACTACCAGTTATCTATGGAGAATTTGCTTTACATGATGGTATACCTAAGCCAAGGAAAGGATTGGCATTTACATTGGAATGTCAGGAATCCGGTCCACATTGGCTATCGTTACTGTCTTTCTGGAATCTACACATGGGCAATCTAACATGGAAGTCCAGATGTTGCCTGTTAATGATTTTACATTTCTCCAGAGGTTGTGCTGTAGAGGGGCTCCAGATGCAATCAATAGCAAGTCCTTGAATTAATGAGAACTTTCATTGTTGCATGGTTAGTTTCACTGCAAAAATAACCCTTACAAAAGTTCAACTTTGTTGAATGAAGCATTAATTGATATTTAATGGCATACTAGCTTTATTACCACTACTAAAACATCCTCCGCACTGATCCTGGAAAGCTAATCTTATAATTGTAAAATATCAAATTTATCCATGATGATAAAAAATTGCACTATTTTTAAATATTTATTTAAGTTTTCAGTGCCAGTGCGATTCCAGGTTTGTAGGCTGTTCATTTCCGAAGACTAATGGATCATATCAAACATCATATCCCTTTGTTCACAGCAAGCAAGGCACTCACTGTGCCCATTTGGCCTGCGCTTACGAAGCTTGCAACACAATGCCCAACATTGTTTGTGATTCTGCAACTGGGCAAGATTTGCTAGATAATTCTGAAATGAAAAGAATTACACTAACATCCAACTTTGGATGGTAAGTCAGGCTCACAGTTTGTGCATTTACATGCACTGGTATCTCAATACGCAGAGTCCTGCTCCTTGCAAACAGATGGAACTGCACTTATTTCAAATAAATAAAACAGGCATTTGCTTGTTCATTTCCATGGGCAATTCCCTGGCCAATCAGGTACAAGAAGGTCAGTGTGAAATTTAAGGAAAGCCTGGTAGTTAATTATCAATCATTGTTAGTTGGTTCATTCTCCATGGCAACACCATTACTTATCAAAGTTCATTTATTAATCAATCAACACTCTTCTCTCATGCAACATAAATGTTAATTGACTTGGTATTCTTGTGAATTTGTCCTGATAAGTACAAGATGAAAAACTTTGACAAAGTGCATTTGTTCAGCAGTATTTATGTATTTTTAATTATACTTTTGGCTTTTAAATCCAATTCTAATCATTTAAATGGTTATCTGAAAGGTTAAATCAAAAGCAAAGAATATTAACTGCTCCTTACTCCTTGGTTTTCTGCATGTAAATGGTTTTCAATTTGTTTGCTTATTTCACCTGCTTACTAACATTAAGGCTGCTATATGTTTCACATTCTCTGATGTAGCCCCAGATATAAATTGCCATCGGGAAAGGGCAAGTCTTCACCATACAGATCACTGGACTTTTGTGGGAAGGTTTCTTTGAGACAAATGGTGTGTGCTGTTCTTCATCACTGACTGCACTATCGAGAGTTCAATGGGTTTTCCTGTGTTAGCAGGGAGAGTTGCACACTTAACATATACAATTCATGATAAAGTGGAAGTGGTGGATTACTAAAATTGACATCATGTGCATAAGATGTTCTCAATACTAGCACTGCACAAATATTCAAGTTTGCTGACATTGCTGGCAATTCCAAACTTCATTTCACTTAAACTTAAAACTTTAGAATCTGCTACGTTATCAACAAGGGCATTTATATTTTTGATCAACTACTAGATGTTAATTGAATAAAAATTCTCAATTGTGCACTCCTCTGCCACCTCTGGTCCCAGTGTTGATGACCTATTTTTCTTCCATAGCTATTGTGTCTCTTTTTTTGTATAGCTTAATGATAAATCCAAAACAATGCATTCTAGCGAGTATAACTCCAGGACAACTGCTCACTTTAAATGCAAAGGCAAAAGATGCATTTGTTTTTGTGGAAGATTTTGTTTTTGCAAGCTGCCATATTCAGTGGGCCATTTATTAGAAACAGCCATGTATTTTCATAATAAACATAATTTCAAAATAAAGATAACAAGCTGAAAAAATATTGACTTTAGTTTCAGAATATTTAGGCCATTACTTCTTTAAACTGATAGACCTGGCGTTAAGAGATTAAATATGTTAGTTGTTCAGCGTATTGATTGTTTAACATGAACAAATTAATATTGAAACTGAACGCTACACAATCTAAGCACAGCTAATGTAGAGTGAATGTTATGTCATTGTGAACAGCAACACGAGTGTTTTTTTTTATGTCATAGAGTTGTACAGCATGGAAACAGACCCTTTGGTCCAACTTGTCCATGCTGACCAGGTATCCTAAATTAATCTAGTCCCATTTGCCAGCATTTGGCCTGTATCCCTCCGAGCAACTCTTATTCATATATCCATCCATGTGCATTTGCAATGTTGTAATTGTACTAGTCTCCACCAACTCCTCCTTCAACTCATTCCATACATGCACTATCCCCTGAGTGAAAATGTTGTCCCTTAAGTCCCTTTTAAATCTTTCCCCCCTCATCTTAAACCTATGCCCTCTAGTACTGTACTCCCCTACCCTGGGAAAAAGACCTTGGCTATTCTCCATAACTATGCCCCTCATGAATTTATAAGGCTCTATGAGGTCACCCCTCAGCCTCCAATGCTGCAGGGAAAATAACTCCAGCCTATTAGCCTCTCCCTATAGCACCAACACTGGCAACATCCTTGTAAATTTTTTGTGAACCCTTTCAAGTTTAGTAGCATCTTACCTACAGCAGGGAGACAAGAACTAAATGTAATATTTCAAAAGTGGCCTCACCTATGTCCTGTACAGCCACAACATGACATCCCAACTCCTATACTCAATGCTCTGACCAACAAAAGGAAGTGTATCAAGTATCTTCTTCAACACCCTGTCTACCTGTGACTCTAGCTTCAAGGAATCATGAACCTACATCCCCAGATCTCTTTGTTCAGCAACACTCTCCAGGACCTTAACATTAAGTGCCCTGATTTGCTATGCCAAAATGCAACACCTCACATTTATCTGAAGTAAACTCCATCTGCCACTCCTCGGTCCATTTGCCCATCTGCTCAAGGCCCTGTTGTACTCTGAGATAACCTTCTTCACTGTCCACTACACCTCCAATTTTGATATCATCTGCTGGTCAAAGGCATCCAGTCAGAGAAACAACCCTTAACTACCACCCTCTGTCTCCTACTATCAAGCCAATTTTGCATCCAAATGGCTAGCTCTTCCTGGATTTCATGGGATCTAACCTTGCTAACCAGTCTACCATGCAGAGCTTGGTTGAATGCCTTACTGAATCCATTTGGACAACATCCACTGCTCTACCTTCATCAATCTGCATGTTTTGCAACAAAAGAGGATTGACAAGCTTTGGGTTTTTTAAGTAAACTCTACACATACAAAGGTGGCAAAAGTGCAAATGGATTTAGAATTGTTGTTCGCACAAATAATGAAAACAACATACACCCATTGCAAAATTAATAAATGACTTGTATGCATTGAAAAAGTAGACTTTAAAATACCAAAGTGTGAAGTTAATTATAAATCATATACTTAATTTGCATTTTCTGGATAAAACTGTTTGTGATTTTTATACATTCTGTCATAAAATAACTTTACACTAAAAGAATATTCTTAATGTATTAGTTGAAATTTTGCAAACATCCACATCCTCCCTCCACTAATGCTCAGTTGTTGTTGTGTCACCATAGTCTTACCAGACCCCATGGCTGCTCTCTCATTAGAGAGAGATGACAGGTAGTGATTTAATCTGAGTGCCACCATGCCTCAGGTGAGGGGAGAGGTTGAGAAGGACAGTCCTTTATGGTAACCTCAAGTGGTGATGGGAATTGAACCCACACTGTTGGTATTACACTGCTTTGCAAACCAACCATCCAGCCAACTGAGTTAAATCAACCCCCTGATATTGAGTACCAACAGTGTGTACTATCTGCAAGATGCACTGCAGAAATTCCAAAGATCCTCAGACAGCCCTTTCCAAACCCACAGCCATGTTCATCTATATTGGGCAGCAGATACATTGGAACACGACTTGCAAGTTCCCCTCCAATCCACTCACCTTTCTGACATGGAAATATATCGCCGTTCCTTCAGTGTCACTTGAGAGAGCTACTTGTGCAGTCTGCACCCAAAAACTGCCCAAGCTACAAAGTAGTCACATGAAAATGGTGTGGGATTGGCAAGGCAAAGTAAAATTGTTTATTCAGCAAACAAAAATCAACAAAAATCAATGATTCACACCTCTGAGAACATGCATTTCTGACCCAATAATTAGCAACTTCTGACTTAACATTCTTTAAAACAAGTGAAAATGCCCAAATGAAACTTACTGATATTTTTGCTCCTCACTTCCCAGAAAGAAATGGTCAAAGGTAGCAAATGCTTCATTTCCATTCCAGTCTTTCAGCTGAATGCGGAGAACATGAGGAGACTGGCTGGTTAGAAGGTGAACAAATTCATTTCCGAGCCAATATTCACCCGAGGGGTCTCCAAAGCCCTGATAAGACAATTGTGGTTAGTTTCCATTAAGTAGCAACCACACCAGAACAGAAGACTCTGATCCAAATGGAAAAATGTCTTTCAAAAGTGTGCACAAATTTCATACATTTGCTTGTGAATTCTGAAGATAAAATGGCTATGTTATCTTAAGGGCAATAAATCCATGTGGCTGAAAAGAAAACTGACAGCTGTGTTGATATTTCACGTAGAATAAAAGTGCATGTAAAGTTTTCTCCAATTTATTTGATAATCGTTTGTTTAAATAGTGTTGCTGTTATAATGGGGCACTCAGCTGTTGCTGTGGATTAAAGAGAAATGAAAAGAAAAGGTTAAATAAAACTTGGGGGGAAATAACATAACACCTGTTAACTGAAATGAACAGTTTCACAATACTAAATTAAAAATCACAGGTTTGGAAAAATGCAACAGCTGGTTCTGGTAAGCATATTTTTCATGAAGACAATCTACAACAAAAAGAAAACAGCTCAATCAGAAAGATGTTGAATAGTAACTCACTCTACTGTTGTATTGTCAGAAATTGGACAAAGTATATAGTGTAGCTGGCAGACTAAAATAATCATATGCCTTTGCACATTATCTATGGGCTTATTAACCAGAAGATCATATTAGTTTTAGTAGTAATAAAGATCATTTATATATTGTTGATAAAATCATGTCTTAGAAATAAACTTCTTTGTATTATTTTTATACCAGCTGAACTGGATTGTTCAATTTGTTTCCAATGGTTCCAAATTATATGCAGGGTTGTATTGTTGAGCTATATCCACAAAGAATCAAACCAAGATTACTTATACACTTTTTTTTATTTAGGTCCCCTGCAGATCTTGGAAAAGAAAGACTTCTAGCCAATCAATTTGGGTGACTCAAGGCTCGGTGAGTGGATAGTGTACAGATAATTGCACAAACCACTCTGCTTATTCACAATTTCAGCAGGTTGGAAACTATGATTTAGGTGAAAATAAATGCTTTTCCATATTAGTATCATAATGATATGCACACACAAACTGAATCCAGTCACAGAGATTCCATTTAAAGGGGTGTAAGCCTTATGACATTGTCAGACCTTCTTTGCTTCAAAATAAATGACACAATTGCACAACCAATAAATTATTCTATTATTAACTGAGTATTAGTAAAAGTACTGAGTTTTCCAAGTTCAAGCAATTAAGATTCTATCCTTAAAATAAAACCAATAATTAACAGCAGTTAACTATTTTCATTATTGGCTGGACAAGTTTTCACACAATGTACATTAAGAAATAGAATTTTAATGTAATTGCATATATATTCAAGGATGTAAAGCTTCTTCTCACAATAAATAAGGTTAAAATAAAACATATTTATACTCATAATTGAAATTCAGCAAATACATTTGCATTCTTCTGACTTTCTTTATGGTTTTCTACTCTGTTGGGTTGTTGTCTGTGTAGCTCATGGACATTCATAGTAAATTCTTAAGTAAATTAGCTGGGACCAGAGTATTTACAACCTTCCAGATGTCAGAAGATCTTATTCCAATAAATAAAAGTGCCACACAATGTAAACTGAGTCATTTGTTTAAAATGCCCAAACTTTTTAAAACAATCCAGAAAGGAGAGGTTGCAATTAAGCTAATGCAAAATGGATTCAGAGTATATCCTCAGCCTTTGATATATTGTGCTAGTTTTGATACTCCAATGACTTGGAAAACATGGCCTACATTTTTATTTCAATGCAATTAAAAGCAGTGAGACTGCAAAACTCTGAAAAAGGGTTTGAACAATTGTTCAATGAGCTTCAGTGGAAGGAAAATCAAGCACAGTGTACAAAAGAATGTATGTTGCTCTATAGTATCTTCTTGAGCTTTTGTTCCTTCTTCAATAATTAAAGGAAGATAAATAGAAAACAAACAAAAAGCAGAAAGTAGTCCCTAAGTTCGGAAGATTTTACTTCTTTGAAGTTCAAATAACTTATTTGCAGGAAATGTTAACAGTTTTTTCACCATGACAGACCAAAGGATAATAGTCTGCAACTGTTGGTTACCTGATACAAAATAGATGTCTTATTTTGACACTTGAAAGAAACTAAAAAAAATGCTTTCAAGCAGATCGTTGGTTGGGTTTGCTCACGAGCAACATATATTTATTTTCATTGATTCCTGAACAAAAGGCATCTGCCTCTCTCAGATTCTGCCAGTTTCCAATCTTCTATTCAGAAGCTCAGTGAATTTGACAACCTTCATCTAGCACTGGCTATTTTTGAAATTATAGAGTTAAAACATAATTGCCTGTTTGCATTACAACAAAATGTTTTAAAAGGTAAACAAAATCTTCAAAAAAACATTCTGTCTCTAAGAATATTTCAATCCTTTTCTGTTATCTTTTCTCTGTTTTACTTTCTCTACATGATTTACCTTGATTTAAATATTCTATTCTAAAAATAAATCTTAAATATTCTACTATAGAGTCATAGAGATATACAGCATGGAAACAAACCCTTCAGACCAAATTGTCCATGCTGACCAGATTCCTAAATATATCTAGTCCCGTTTGCCAGAATTTGGCCCATCTCCCTCTAAACCCTTCCTATTCATGTACCCATCCAGATGCCTTTTAAATGTTGTAATTGTACCAGCCTCCACCACTTCATCTGGCAGCTCATTCCATACATGCACCACTTTCTGTGTGAAAAAATTTCCCCTTAGATCCCTCTTAGGTCTTTCCCCTCACATCTTAAACCTATGCCCTCTAGTTTATGACTCCTGCACTCCAGGGAAAAGACCTTGTCTATTCACTCTATCCATGCCCCTCATGATTTTATAAACCTCTATTAGGTCACCCCCACCCAGCCTCCGATGCTCCAAGGAAAATAGCCCCAACCTATTCAGCCTCTCCCTATAGCTGAAACCCTCCAACCCTCGCAACATCCTTGTAAATCCTTTCTCAACCCTTTCAAGTGCACAACATCCTCCCAATAGCAGGGAGACCAGAACTGCATTCAATATTCAAAAAGTGGCCTAACCAATGTGCTGTACAGTCACAACATGACCTCCCAGCTCCTATACTCAATGCACTGACCAATAAAGGAAAGCATACCAAATGCCTTCTTCACTACCCTATCTATGTGCAACTCCGCTTTTAAGGAAATATGAACCTGCACTCCAAGGTCTCTTTGTTCAGCAATATTCCCAGGTCCTTACCATTAAGTGCATAAATCCTGCCCTGATTTACCTTTCCAAAATGCAGCACCTCACATGTATCCAAATTAAATTCCATCTGCCACAGCTTAGCCCACTGGCTCATCTGATGAAGTTCCCACTGTACTCTAAGGTAACCTTCTTCACTGTCCACTACACCTCCAATTTTGGTGTAATCTGCAAGTTTACTAACCATACCTTGTATGTTCACATCCAAATCATTTATATAAATGATAAAAAGCAGTGGACCCTGCACCGACCCTTATGGCATACCGCTGGTCACAGGCCTCCAGTCTGAAAAGCAATCCTATGCCACCACCCTCTGTCATCTACCACTTCTGTATCCAAGTGGCTACTTCTCCCTGTATTCCATGTGATCTAACCGTGAAAACCAATCTACCATGGGGAACCTTATTGAACACCTTGCTGAAATCCATTAGATCACATCCACCACTCTGCCCTCATCAATCCACTTCGTTACTCCTTCAAAAAACTCAAACAAGTTAGTGAGACATGGTTTCCCATGTACAAAGCCATCTTAACTGTCCCTAATCAGTACTTGCCTTTTCAAATACATGTAAGTCCTGGCCCTCAGGATTCCCTCCACCCACTTGCCCACCAGTGATGCCAGGCTCAACGATCTGTAGATCCCTGACTTTTCCTTACCAACGTTCTTAAATAATGGCTCCATGTTAGCCAACCTCCAGTCTTCTGGCACCTCACCTGTGGCTATCGATGATAGAAATATCTCAGCAAGGGGCCCAGCAATCACTTCCCCAGCTTCCCTTAGATTTCTTAACTTTTTTTTTTGGTTTAAGCTTGCATGCCTCAATAAGGATTATTGAATCCGATTAATTGAAAAGAAACAACATTACTTAGCCCGTACACATGGAGTAGAGCTTAATTTAGATGAAGGAGTTCTGGCATGCTAGCGGGAGAGCCACTGATAGCTCCTGTGTCTCTCTTTTCAAGAAAGCTTGCCGTATTAATTACAAGTCATTACTTAACATAAGGCACTCCATGGTTTAATGGCCGCAGGGACAGAGAGCATGTTCAATGAGGTTGATTGGTTCAGCAGGATAGAGACGATGACTGCTGTTGAGGCCGAGGATCACCAATGGCAGGAGTGGAATAATGAGTTGAGGGTCCCAAGGGATGATGCTGGAGGTTGGTATCAAATGCAAATAGTGGTTCTCAACAAGTCCAATTTTCCCAATGCCAGGTTTGTCCATAAGGCATTGAGTGCCTTTCAAAGAGGAGTTATCCTCTCCACTCCCATCCCAGCCCGGGAGCAATCCCGATAGCGCTTGCTTTTCTACCTCCCCACGTGATGTGTTCCCCATCTACTGCTGTATTTAACAACAGTGGCAGTGGAATGGACCCCTTCAGTTGGTATTAATTAGGACAGGAAGGTAGCAGGGTCATGAGCCTCCCACTCAATTCAATGCCATCCTTGCACCAAATTGATTGAGGGAGTAGACGTTAAATTCTAGTCACAAGTCCTAGACTCCCCATTGAGAGCACAGCCGTGAATCTGTCTCTTTATTCCCACAATGTGCTATGTGAAAATCCATCAGAATTGGGGCGTGGAATGTATTGTCGGAGAGGGTAGTCATTGGGGGCATTTGAGCAGCTATTAGATAGGCATATGGATGATAGTATAAGGTAGGCGTGGAGGTTATATAGACCTTAGGCTTAGGGTAAAAGTTCCCCACAACATCGTGGGCCTGTACTGTTCTATGTTCTATGTTCTATTTGTTCTAATTGTTAAAGTAACTGAATGTATTACGAATGGTGAGCAG